CCTGTCCTTGACCAACACCAGAAATGAATTTGATTTTTCTAATGCAGAAAGTAATTGGATTTTTCTTTATTGAATGCATCCCTTTAATGACTGTCTCTGCTCTTGCCAATTTAGCAGTGACCTGACATTGATCTGATGATATGACTTAAAATAGAGAGTTGGAAGCTGGAGGTGAAAAAGACCAGCTGTCTGGCATCAGAAAAAATGTTTTGTGCCTCATCTTGTCATTTTCCTGGGAAAATCCTTTATCCTTGAATGTCATTTTTACAAACATGCTGCTGTAATAATTGGTCATATAGTAGCAGATTGCCTCCTTCTAGAAAACATAATATGTATTTCCCAGAAAGTACCCTGGAGAAAACATTGAAAATTGAATAAAATCCACCCAGTAATCATTCTGTTCCTTGAAAATATTTATTACCATGCAGACTCTTTCTGGTACAAGGTAAATATTGCTCAACAGAATTAATTAAATCTTTTAAAAGGCTGGGAAATGTGAAATATTTAGGTATTTATTTACTTAACCTTGAAGTTTTGTAAAAATAAAATTTTATACAAGATTGTTTTTTAAATAGGTGGGAAAGGAGCAGTGGATAAAATTGTCATATTAGGAAAAACAGTGATCTTTCCTCAGGTGAAATTATGGAATAAAACTCTTTTTATGTCCAAGAATATATGGGATTTAAATTTCTCTACTTTTGCATTTATTCATTTTAGTAACAATGTAACTCAATTCATGGTTACTTTTTATTCTATCATCTTCCCTTTGTTTATTTTGATAAATATCATGATTTTTTTTTGTTTGAAGATCCAATTAATGGGTATCAGTCTGAGCAAGAAAATAAACTCTTATCATTTTAATGTGTCATGAAGATAATAAATAGATGAGAAAATTATCAATAAACAGGTGTCCTTTTAAAGTAGAACAAGTTTTTTTTTTAATTTTTGAATTTTTAATATCAGTTACATTTATACTTAATGAAGTCATGAACAATTTAAAGAAATTATCAGAGTTTATGTTAAAACTCTTTATGATTGTTGAATCTTTTCAGAATCAACAGTGAAGCCGCATTACGCAAAATTATTGTAGACCCTAAATTAGACAGAGCTGGCATAAATCTGCAGTCTTACACAATGAAAGTCAGTGAACTTGCTTTGATTCTCATCAACCAAGAGAGGCGGGAGAGTTCTATTCCTAGAAATGATGTTTAGAAAGAATATAAAGACAAATTAAGATCGACTATGTCCTGAAGACTAGGCTCCTTACCCACTGTTCTGACTGCATCTTAAATGAGCAAGTGAAGCATTGGCATGCCAGTAAATGTTTCCAGAGACCATTTCTTGGATGTATGTGGCACAACAAAATGGGCTTGCTTGAGAATTGATGAGGCTTCGTGGGAAGTCCGGTAGGATTGAAAGGGTCCCTGAACCAGAAAGACTCCCTACTGAATCACAATCTATCATCATAAATGATTAAATCTCACCCATTCTAGGTCAAGCCATTGTTGAAAGTTCCACTTAAATGTTAAAGCTTTAAGGGCAAAAGAAAAATATATTTTAATGGATGCTAAAATTCTTCATTATTCTATTCAGTTTATCTCATTCCATACAGTTTTCTCAATTTCAATTCTGTCTTGTTTGAATTTGAACATTATTAATTAAAAACATAATATAATGTTCTCTTCTCTTAAAGGGAAGGCAATTTTCTAGGGGAAAAAAAGTTTGTGTGTGTGTACATGTATGCAAACAAGTCTTCCTTTATTAGAAAAGGAAATTCATTCTCTATTCCTATCAGTTTTAAAGATGCTTTTATAATAGGTCATCAATTTATGATACTTTGGACACTTGCTGAAACTATTAATATGGGATGTTGCCCATGAGCAATTTACTTTGTTAATGCATTTTTAAAAGCAAGCATTTATATCCTAATGCATTTTGTCATTTCTTCTTTGAGCAAATATTTTAGTCTTTTATATAAAAGATCTTTTGATATTGGAAGGGATACAAAGATAAATCTCACCTTTTTGGATTTTAAAACCTTGTAGAGAAAAAAAATACATAAGTAAGTAAAATAGAAGGTAGAATATGACATGTGACAACTACAATCGGAAGGGAACAGTGAAGACACAAGGATGGTAACATGACTTTACCTAGGCCTCAGAAGACTGGCAGAATCTGTGCACATGAAAAAGGCAGAACATTTTTGGAAGGAGTAGAATTACTGATGGCAAAGAGGTGGGAGAATGCTAGGTAATTAGAATAAATATGCCATAAAATCGGGTTCAAGTACCATAGCTCACATATCCTTGAAGAAAAAAAGAGAAAGGAAGGTAATATTTTGACTAGGGATATAGGTAAAAATCTAGACACATTAGGAAATATTTGGGTTTTGAAGTTTCTATTTAGACAAAGTTAAAAAGAATATGGTATTTTATTTATTATATGTTTAGTTTATAGAAAAGTAAATGGTATCTTAATGATACCTTCTTTTATAAGCTAATCTTGATTGACATTTAGAAAACAATCTCAATATTTGACATGTTGAATGGCCTTAATATGCTTGTTCATTATGTAAAGTCAAATGAACTATTAAAGTTTTTAACTGGGACGTATATTCTAATTTTTATCTCTGTATACATTCTGATGTTAAAATACATACATATTTTATTTTCAGTAAAATGTAAATTGCCTACATATTTAAACCTGAATATAAGATTTCCGAAAGTGCTAAATAAGTTTCTTTCTTTGCTTCAGGTCACTGATATGATGCTTCAGGACAAACCCTATCCTGATTGGGGAAAATCTGCAAGAGCTTTCTGGAAGAAAGGAAATGTTAGGATCATTTTATTCTGGTAAGAGATTGTTTCATTTATTGATTTATGCCTTGCCTCAGTCACTAAAGGAATTGATTGGATATAGCTTTCTCTAGATGTATAGAATTCTATCTAGAGAGGCATTATCAGTGGATACTATGCTCCATTAAAATTATTAAAACCAATATCCTAAGTATTTTATGAATTAATTTCTGCTTACATATTGTTTCATATACTTTTATAAGAGATGTGTTTTGTAATATAGTGATGGATAGATTTCATCAGAGGTAAATAGGTTTTTGACTCAGCAAAAACAAGCTATAATTTTCATCAATGATATATAATATAAAAATGTCTTTAGTAAATGCTAAATTTCCAATATATTTGCCATGTAATAATTTTCTTTGAAGAATTTATACAGAGAAGAAACCTCTTTATGAATCACATCTGGCTCATTTGCATTTCTTCTTTACATAGTTTCCTTTAGCTCTTTGGCCCCATCATTGCTATTAAAAAAACAACTCATGTCTTAGAGAACTTTGTTTTCAGTGGAGTAACCATTATTTATGTGCACCTGAACAAGTTTAGACAAAAAAGATAGGAATATAGAGACAGCAAGAAGGGTACTTTCTCCTGGCTCTGTGACACTGCCAAAGCACAGTGATTCAACCTGATGTATGAAACGTTATGCATAGTAACATGCAGAAAAGTTATAATGGGTGATATTTTTTTGCCTGGTAAGTTCCACTCTGTTCACCTGCCTTTTGAAATGAAAAAAAAAAAAAAAAAGTTTATTCCTGGATTTAATTCTGAGGTTTGTTGTTGTTGTTGTTGTTGTTTTGTTTTGTTTTTATGTACAAGCTACAAAAATCATAGTACGTACTTGGGAAATATACACTCCAAGCTATTTTTGTATCTTTGCACTATCATTAAATATTGCTAGAGATATGTGGCATTTTGAACCCAATTTTTAGCAGGTATACAAAAGTATATTTTTCAATAATGCTATAGAAATGAACATGATTTATTCACATCTTGTGTCTATGAGTGAAGTGTGGTCTATCTTTGCAGTGTATTTAACCTTCATATTTTTTTTCCTGTTTAGTTCCCCATGTAGCTTCTCCGAATAATATACAGTATTACAGTATATTATATACAGTATATTATAGCAAATGTTTATTGAAGATACGTTTTGCTCCAGGCACTGTGCTAAGTACTTACCATTCTATATATTTACTCATTTCATCCTGACAACCCTATAAGATAGGTACTACTATTATAAGCATAGACTAGACCTCTGACTTCAGAGCCCCAGTTTTTAATTATTACACCAGACTGCCTCCAGAAGAACAAAAGATATATTTGTGTGCAAATTTCTAAATGATTGTCTTTAATCACTTTTTAGGTAAGGTGATAGATAAGAATGTGAGATTCTGGAAAATCATTTCACCTATAGAATTCTCTTACAGGTGTTTTAAGAATATAGTATATAAGGAGATAGATTAATGTTAACAGTGTTTATGATCTCTTTTAAAACAATATATACTTACTATATTGACAGATATTTTGTATCAATTAACATATCTTCAAAGGCAGCCCATTGGTTATTGTTCAGTGTGGCAAGTTAACGAGGTCATAGTATATATTTGCAAAGGTGAGCCATGTATAGTGATCTGAAGTCATCTGTTGCTATTGTGATTAGCTACTGTTAATTGCAATTGCTGTCTCAGAGGACAGGAAATCGTACTAGATTTTTTCTGAACATCTTAGTACATTTTTCCTTGAATGTTACTACTCAAGTCTGTATATTACCAATCTCTTTAATACAAATGGGTTTACTTTTGACATATGTGATAACATAACCTCAATAGGTAATCTAAAGCATATTTTAAATGTTGTTAAAATAATTTAGTCACTGACAAATAGATTTTTTGAATGGAGAATAAACTAAAACACACTTATTCTTATAGTCAGTTTCTATGTAATTATTGATAGAAGATAATTATGAGAGATGATTTTTTTATTGTTACATTTTGAAAGTAATATTTCAAATCATGGAGAGCATAAAATAACTGGAGGAGTATTTAAATGTCATTTAAAATAGTTTTTTTTTTCTATTTTATCCATTTCTATAGTTAGGTTATCTTGACAACAATATTCTTGGTGTTAAAAAAGGAAAATATGATACAAAAAGTTGAATATGGAAATTATGTGGGAAGCAAAGAAATCCTCCTTTTTGTTCATACTTTTTAAATAAAAAGGATTTAGCTAGTATAAGGTCATCTGAGTTTTTTCAGTTCTAGGAGATAAAATACAGAAATCATTAGCAAGGTTTTAAATGAAATGAAAATAGTATTTGCATACTGTGTGCTATCTGTTACCCACTTAGAAAGAGGTGTTTTCTTTTGGATTTGCCCTAGTTAAGGAAAGAGAGGTTAGGGCGAAAAATCTATGGTGGAAAGGAAATTTTGCAAAGGAAAGCTTTCCCCAGTTGGAATGTGATTATGTACAGCAGTTTAAACAGTACAATGTGGAATTTTGTTCTAGTAAACTTACCTTTTACTTAATGTGTTGCTGCTTTAACTCACAAATGCCTGTCAGAAACTCTTTTGTTTGCAACTGCGTGACAGAATTCTTCCTTGTTTCTTAGTGATAGATGTCTCTACATTTCTTTCTGTAATTGTGCAAAGATAAGGCTATAGCACATGGGTTTTTATGTCTGCGAGGAGACTAAATTGTGGCTGTATTTGAAAATATTAAAGAGGAAGGGAAGAATATTGACAGTCTTTCCATTCAAATCCCTTTTCTCAGCCCTTTGGATAATTAAAAAGAATAAAGATAAAAATCTAAATCCTAGGTGAGTGCCATGCACTATTCTATTTTTCAGAAGGGTTACCAAAAACCATTTCACTCATTTGTGTCTGAAGTAAAAGAACAAATATGTGAGAAAATAAGTAACATGATATTTATGTTGACTCTTGTCTCCATTTTATTTCTCTCTAGAGGTACAATTTGTATGCATTCGATGGCAAGCATCTAAGGATGATATTTTCTGAGGGCTTAGCTTTTTTTTTCTTTTCTTTTTTTTTAAATAAGGGGAGACACCCTTCTAGTAGAGGAGTTGTCAGAAGGGATTGGGAGATGTGATCATTAAGGCTTTAAAATATTCCAGTTCTTTGTCTTCCAAACATATAACAGAATTACACATTTCTACCCCTTTAATCACATGACTTGCTTTGACCAGATGAAATGTGAGTGAAACTGGCATGTGTCATATCTAGGAAGAAGCATTTAATTGTCAATGAGAAGCACTGAAGGGAACTCTTTTCTTGGTAGCAACTGCAGAAGCATGTGTCTAGCTGGAGCCCTTGTTATTCAGTTTCCCTGAATGACCAGGGTAAAGCAAGCATCCTTAACAACACAGTAGACCTGTGGTGTAAGCAAGAAATGATCCTTTGCACCTAGGAAGACCAGGTGCTGTAGCTGTAAAAAATAAAAATAAATAAATGAAGGATCATAAGCTGACAAGGTCCTTGCAGTCTGTGAGGTCAACCAAGGGTTGCCTTGCCTAAAAAAAAAAATAAAATAAAATAAAATAAATAAAATAAAATAATGATCCTTTGCAAATGTTAAGCATTGATTGTCAGGGATTGTTTGGTACTGCAATATATACTAGCCCATTTGATATACAGAGAAATTGATCCCAAGACGTGGAGTGACACCACAATAGAAAGCTAATTTTTTTTTTTTTTTTTTTTTGGTTTAAGAGCTGAACAATAAATGGCAAGAAAACTGATGATGGGGGCTGGAAAGATGGTAATCCAGGTGTCATAGTGGTGAAGTATTTAGTAAAAATTGTGGTCTGTGATTACTTAGATGCTCTATGAGAAATTGGAAAACAATGTTAATAGTGTGTTGCTGTGTGCATCTGTGTAATACTGTCCGCTTCTATTCATTTCTGATGCATATAGAAGATTATCATTTATTTTTTTGGATGATTAGTGTCTTTAAATTATAAAAAGTACTTTAGTACTGTAATGATTTGGGTGGCCATCGCTTGGTCATAATTACCTTAAATCTTATCTGGGAAACAAATGTAGCTGCTGCTGTTTTTTCTGCTTTCAATAACATGGTTATTCTTAAAGTCTAACAAAATGACTTTGATCAGTGAAGAGCTAATCAAGGAATGACTATTATCTGAATATACATGGTGTGGGAGAGTAACATAATAATAAGAAAATAATAATAAAATGCAGTAAAGTAATAAAGACCTAAGAATTAAAGGCAATGTCAGTCAAAAGTGTTTTAGTAAATAGCTTTATCAATATCTAGTTGTATGACCTATATGACTATGTTTCCATTTTCTTTTATGCTAAAGGGATGTGTTTTATTATTCTGTGTGATCTTTTTAGCTCTATAATGCTATTTCTATTATAAGATTGAAATGTCGAAGAGAGTATTTCTGTCTGCTTTGCTTCAGAAGGCAGGGTATGGACTGCTATGGTCTGAATGTTTTTGTTCTTCCAAAATTCCTATGTGGAAATCCAGTGCTTTATGTGATGGTATTAGGAAGTGGGGCCTTTGGGAGGTGCTTAGGACATGAAGTTGGAGCCCTCATGAATGGGATTAGTGCCCTTATAAAAAAACCCCCAGAGAGGTCCTTAGCCTTTTCCACCATGTGAGGACCGAGTGAGAAGGCACTGGCTATGAACCAAGAAGAAGGCCCTCACCATGCTGTATCTTGATCTTGGACTCCCTAGCCTCCAGAATTGTGATAAATAAATTTTCATCATTTTTAAGCCACCCAGTCTGTGATATTTTGTGATAGCAGCACAAATCGACTAAGACATGGACCAATGAAAGTAAATCACATGGTAACAGATTTAGATTCATATATGAAGGAATCTCCTAACAATGGGAGCCTCTCAATGTTGAACAAATCTGCCTAATGAAGTGCTGATTCCCCATCAGTAGAAGTATTCCTACAAAGGCTAGATGATCTTTCAGGGATGGTATAGAAGGATTTTCACATTGAGTGA